CAACTTGACTCGAAAGGGGCGTGTATGTTTACGCAGAAGTCATGATGTCATGTTGGATGTTTACACAATACCACAATATCACTTCATCATCATGTCGTAAAGTGAAAGGTTGTTTGCTAAATGTTGTGCAGATTTTTTTTCTGATTTGCAGATCTTCTAACAGAGTAATGGCACCTAACAAATGCTCTTTATATAACAATGAACGTGATGACCTCAATTACTTTAATAAGCAGAAACTGTTTTATAAAAGCAATAAGGCTTTCTATGCCACACTACAGAGTACAGTTTCTCGCTGTGTGCAACAATGCTCTTCAGCCACAACTAAACTCACAATGTAGCAATCAATATCATTCTCCATTGCCTGAATAAAACCCATCCACACTTAGAGAACTGAAAGCCTTCCTATGTTTGATCCAGAAACACATTAAATAAGCACACATGGCTGTGTGAGCCACCAAAACAGCTTTATTTTCTCATTTTAATGGCAAGTTTGCACTTTGTTACTTCCAATATTTTTAAACATTTAACATTTTAACTTTGGATCATCTCAGGAGAGTCCAGATCCACAGAGTGATCATGCTGACATCAGCCAGATGTGAGGTAACATCTGTGTCTCATGTACACAACAGAGGTAAGTGTACACAAGCAGCTCGAGTGGGTGTGCTGGAGGTCACTGTTCACCGCACACAGTCCAGCTCACACTATAGAAACTGCACATAATGACAAACTCATATGAAACACAAACGTCTATTTGATATCTGACAGGAAACGTCCTATAGACATATTGCAGATGAGCAAACACTCTTAAAAATATGTCTTCCAGATGTAAACATCACATCATATAGACTTGTGCTATATCTGGGTAGGGGTGGGAATCTGTAGGCACCTCACGATTCGATTCCGATTCAGAGGGCTGCGATTCGATGCTAAATCGAATATCTCAATCTTTTTTTGTGCGTGTGTGACTATAAATACTTTGCTTTAAAGGTACAAAGTAATGACCAATAAAGAATTAACGTACAATATATTTTATTAACATTGCAAAAAACCAACAGGAAAATAAATGTGTGCCTGAACTAGCATACTTGTAGGAATTAATAATATAACAACGACCGTTCCGGTACACACACGTGTTTTTCCTCCTCTGGGTGGAAATGTGTCATATGGCTTCTCATATTTGTCGTGTTTCCAAAATATTTTAGTTTTATTCTACAAAGCCAAGAACTAGTGTGGTTCTTGTCCAGCTCCTTTCCCCCCTTCAACTTCAGAAACCAAAATATTTCCACATGTCAGCTTTAAAAGAGGGTGTTTGGATCACGCGCTCAGCCAAGGTGTCTCTGTTATATGCACGCCAGACGGTCCGGGCACTGCACTTCCGCGCTTCAGAGTTCCGGATGGTTCCGGTTCCGGCTGGGTCCGTGTACTTTTTCGTTCAATCATTATTTTATTTCGGAATGAAAGATGAAATTTAAAAAAAGGGTGCAACTTGGTTTTTTGTTTAAAAGAAAAAAAATCAGAATTGGCTGCATTTTGTTTTCCAAATGTATTGTTATCATCATATAATAGTATTCGAAAATTGGACGACCTTTACCGATCGCTTTTTAATCTGTAATATTTACACTCACCGGCCACTTTATTAGGTACCCCATGCTAGTAACGGGTTGGACCCCCTTTTGCCTTCAGAACTGCCTCAATTCTTCGTGGCATAGATTCAACAAGGTGCTGGAAGCATTCCTCAGGGAGTTTGGTCCATATTGACATGATGGCATCACACAGTTGCCGCAGATTTGTCGGCTGCACATCCATGATGCGAATATCCCGTTCCACCACATCCCAAAGATGCTCTATTGGATTGAGATCTGGTGACTGTGGAGGCCATTTGAGTACAGCGAACTCATTGTCATGTTCAAGAAACCAGTCTGAGATGATTCCAGCTTTATGACATGGCGCATTATCCTGCTGAAAGTAGCCATCAGAAGTTGGGTACATTGTGGTCATAAAGGGATGGACATGGTCAGCAACAATACTCAGGTAGGCTGTGGCGTTGCAACGATGCTCAATTGGTACCAAGGGGCCCAAAGAGTGCCAAGAAAATATTCCCCACACCATGACACCACCACCACCAGCCTGAACCGTTGATACAAGGCAGGATGGATCCATGCTTTCATGTTGTAGACGCCAAATTCTGACCCTACCATCCCAATGTCGCAGCAGAAATCGAGACTCATCAGACCAGGCAACGTTTTTCCAATCTTCTATTGTCCAATTTCGATGAGCTTGTGCAAATTGTAACCTCAGTTTCCTGTTCTTAGCTGAAAGGAGTGGCACCCGTTGTGGTCTTCTGCTGCTGTAGCCCATCTGCCTCAAAGTTCGACGTACTGTGCATTCAGAGATGCTCTTCTGCCCACCTTGGTTGTAACGGGTGGTTATTTGAGTCACTGTTGCCCTTCTATCAGCTCGAACCAGTCTGACCTCTGGCATCAACAAGGCATTTCCGCCCACAGAACTGCCGCTCACTGGATGTTTTTTCTTTTTCGGACCATTCTCTGTAAACCCTAGAGATGGTTGTGCGTGAAAATCCCAGTAGATTAGCAGTTTTTGAAATACTCAGACCAGCCCTTCTGGCACCAACAATCATGCCATGTTCAAAGTCACTCAAATCACCTTTCTTCCCCATACTGATGCTCGGTTTGAACTGCAGGAGATTGTCTTGACCATGTCTACATGCCTAAATGCACTGAGTTGCCGCCATGTGATTGGCTGCTTAGAAATTAAGTGTTAACGAGCAGTTGGACAGGTGTACCTAATAAAGTGGCCGGTGAGCGTATTTGTACGTTAATTGTATTTCAAATGACTCAGAGCCGGCGCCAGCGGAGCGCTGATGAGGGGGCGTCCACATTAACGCATGTCACCACTCTTTTGCCATGTTCAATATTCTCCCCAACACTTTTTAAAACATCTTTGCGGCAAGCATGTACCAAAACAAATTAATAAAACATCTCCAGTTAACTTTCAGACCATTCAATTTGTTCGTTTGTCAAATTAGAGTCCATCTAGCGCTGAAATATGTTGTTTATTTAAATCAAGTGATCAAAGTGCTCGTTGCCGAAGTAGCCTAATGATTATGAATATGTCGAATATAACATGGAGACATTTGAATTGTTTTTAGCCCTATGTGTCAGTGTTGCCTGCAAAGATGAAGTCGACAATTGCTGATCGTGATCTTCGCAGTAGTGAAAGCGCCAGAGAGAAATGGACATTTCATATGGATTACATATACAGAGAGCAGTCTGTTTTCTTTCGTTTTGAAATGTTCTTTTAAGAAGTTAACATTTTAGATATATTTCTCAGGTCTGGTGCCGCTTTCAGAGCACTCATGCCCGTAACAGATTCCCCAATTATAAAGAATTTATCTATTATCCACTTACAAATAGGCTATAGCACATAATAAAATATTCAATTGATGCAAACCAACAGGAATGCTTGCCTTTTCTGCAGAGGCTTCAATCACTTTTTGGCAGGTAAAATAGGCTACTGCATTATAATGGTTGTATTGGCCCTTTACAGGTATTTTAATAGGCCAAAAGTACTGGGTGAGTAATAATCAGTCAGATTTAACCCTCATGAATATAAACAGCACATTTCAGGGCAGAAATAACCTTTCAATCAATAAGTAGAGGCTTCAATCACTGAAGGTTGGTTGTAATAATGGTTGTATTGGCACTTTACAGGTATTTTAATAGGTAAAAAGTAGGCTACTGGGTGAGTGATGTTTATTTGCACGTTATATCTGCTTGATCCACATAAAAGCAACTGCATTTGTAAAGAGAATGGGCGATACACCTTTAACACGCGGCGCGCGCTCCCGCAGCCGGCCATAGGCCCATCACTTTTCGGCTCGGAGTCATGTGAAATACAATAAACGTACAAATAAATATTACAGATTAAATAACGATCAGAAATGTCGTCCAATTTTCTAATACTATTATTTGATGACAACAATACATTTGGAAAACAAAATACAGCCATTTCTGATTTTTTCTTTTAAACAAATAACCAAGTTGCACCCTTTTTTAAATGTCATCTTTCATTCCGAAATAGAATAATGAATGAACGAAAAAGTACACGGACCGGGCTGTTTTTGAATTTAGTATTTCATGTTTGAAATATTTGAGATTTGTATGTCATTATATTGTTCATTGAGTTCATTAGAGCAAAAGGAACAAATGAAAGGAAAAATGAATTTTGAACATAAATTGTATGCATATTATGTCCTCTGCAGTGACACCAGGAGTGGTTTAAGAACTAAATAAAAGAGACATGAAATGACTTGCAAAAACAATTGGATATTTCCCCTTTACATTTTTAGTTTTCAGGGTTTTCTTTTAACCAAACTTTTTAATGAAATATATTATGGATTTAATTAATTTATTTACCATTTTATGCAATATGTGGGTAAAATCAACCACTGTTGTGTACAAGAGACAGATGTTCCTGAGATGTTGATTTATGACAAGCAGTTTTAAAACTAGTCAGATTTAAACGATAAAAAATAATTATATTTCCATAAGAGTGCTACATTTGATCACTAAATGAATGTCAGTCATGTTTAAAGAGCAAGCACAAGTTGTTGTCCTGGTTAAAGCTGTGAACAGTTGGTGTCTCTGAAAGCCCTGAATCTGCTCTTTACAGGGCTCAGACCTGTGGCGTGTGTGTGTGTGTGCTGCTATCAGAGAAATACACTACAGTTTAGAGTCCACTACAGGGGACACGCATCTATTCCTGGGTCCCTGGATTAGATATCAGTGTGAACAAACCCCATTCATGTATCAAAAATTGTGTAAATAAGCTTGATGCTTGCTTGATATAATAATGACGTATACATTTTATTTTCTCACAGGGCGTTCAGTAATGCTAGACGTTAACGTTTAATTATATGGTTTATGACGTTTATTAAAAGCTATAACGTTATAATGTATGAAACTCGAGCTTTTCTTTACCTTCTCGCAGAGTGTTCGCACTTGGTTCTCGCTGAGCTGTTTGCACTCGTTCAGCTGCTCGACCCATTGGTCTAACTCTTTCGTGAAGGTTTTATCATCCATTCTGCGGTGTTTCTCACGGATTCTGCGGTGACCGAATCAGCAGTGAGTGCGCCCGCACTGAACACTGCCACACGCGCGGGCCGACGCACGAGCACCAAACACTGCTGTTCGACTCGGCTATCAACTCATTAAACACCAAATGCGTGTCACCGGTGGTTTTATATCTAGGGTTGATGGTAAAGGATTTCTGTCTTTGGACGGTATCCGCGATCTGTCGTTAACGAATTTTCCGTTGACTCGTCGCGCTTCCGACCTTCCTCCCAAACGCGCTGTGTAATGGCCGCCACCCGTGACGTCATCAGAAAGGCATGCAGTGCCCAGGACGTTCTGCTGCCCCCAGTGGCCAGGAAGACAAGGAAAAATTGATTGAGAAAAGTTATTAAAGGGTTAGTTCACCCAAAAATGAAAATCAAGTCATTTTACTCACCCCCATGCTGTACCAACCCCATAAGACCTTCGTTCGTCTTCGGAACACAAATGAAGATATTTTTGATTAAATTTGAGAGCTGTATCACTACCACATATAGGCTGCCCAAGGGAATGACACTTGACGGCCCAGAAAGTCAATGAAGAAAATGTTTAAATATTCCATGCGACAACAGTGGCTCAACTATAAGTTTATCAAGCGACGAGAATACTTTTTGTGCGAAAAAACAAACAAAAATAACGACTTTATTCGACTATTGCTTTTCTTCCTTGTTGGCCTGAAACGAGACTTTAATAGATTTCCACGACGCATGCGCGAGAATTGCGATCTCCTTCAACTACTTCAGTTCAGTTCTCGCGCATGCGTCGTGGAAATCTAAGGAAGTCTCGTTTCAGGCCAACAAGGAAGAAAAGGAATAGTCGAATGAAGTCGTTATTTTTGTTTGTTTTTTATCACACAAAAAGTATTCTCGTCGCTTGATAAACTTATAGTTGAGCCACTGTAGTCACATGGAATATTTAAACATTTTCTTCATTGACTTTCTGGGCCGTCAAGAGCCAGTCCCTTAGGCAGCCTATGTGGTAGTGATACAGCTCTCAAATTTAATCAAAAATATCTTCATTTGTGTTCCGAACATGAACGAAGGTCTTAGGGGGTTGGTGCAGCATGGGGGTGAGTAATTAATGACTTAATTTTTTGGGTGAACTAACCCTTTACGGTTCACCCCACACATCAGCATTTCTGATTGTAAATACTCAACATGTTTGGCGATTGGGGCGGCATTGAATTACTACATATTAAATTCAAGGACGCACTCCCTCTTAGGGCTGTCCCGATAACTGCAATACTACAGTACCGCAGTACTTGTCCGTGAGGCAGACCCCAAATTTCTGAAACTAGTATAGCCTACTCTTTTTTATTCAACAGAGGGATGTCCCTGGACCACAAAAATGCATGATAGCAATTCTTATTGGGTAGCTTAAGGTACAATAATCACCAATTTTATGTATGACAGCCCCAAACTTTGGCGAATTCCATAGAAGGTCATTTATTTCTTTAATTCTTTTTTTTTCTAAACATTTATATACTTGATGATATCTAGGTTGGAATATTGTCTGTTTTAATAATATTGTTGCTATGATGAAAATTATGCAGAAAACATAGTGGTGTTCATCTTTCATTTATTCATAAATGAAATACATTCTTTTACATTTCGACTACATGATCCACTTTCTATAAAGATTAATGTTGAAATGGGTTAAATGCTCCTTTAAACTGAATACCAGTCTGTATATGCTTCCAACAGGTAAGAATGGATTTTGCAATGTTATATATTATTGATTAATCTATCAAGTCAATGTATTGGTGTTTGAGATATCTTTATAATAGATGCACACACATATATGCAGAAACACACAAGCAGACATTTACTATATTACACTCCTGAAGGCAGACAATAAGCATAAAATCAATTCACTGATGCAGAAATATGTATAAGGCTTAAAAAGAGAGATCAAAATAAAGGGCCTAAAAATAAAGGGCCTAAAATTGAAAACAAGTGTTTAATACATTGCACTGAAGAGGACTCAGAGAAGAATTTAATTACACCAAAGGACTGGAACTCATGAACAACATTTGTTAAGGCAGCAGAAATAAGAAATCATACAGATATATTAGAATTGTCTGAGAGTTGTTCTGAAGGAGAGGTTCACAGGAGGTGCCAGAGTCTCTTTACATTGAAATAGAATTTGGAAACACTCAGAAGCAAACCATTAGACACTACAACAGAAACAATGGCTAAGGTCCACACAAACTCAGAGCTCTACATTTACATTTTATTCATTCATTTAGCTGACACTTTTTTTTTATCCAAAGCGACTTACAATTTTTTTTGTACAATACAAAAAAAATCTGCATTTTTTTGTGAGAAGTCTTCAAAGTTCAGACCAGGAACAAAAAGTAGTGAGCTGTTAATGCAGTCTGTGTCTTGGCAGTCTGATGCTGTCGTTATAGAAAGGTAGCTCGAGCTTACCAGGATAAAAGAATGATTGCAGTTAGTAGAGATAGCGGCAGAAGCTAACTACCACAAGAGTTATCAGAGGAACTATACCAGAGTACTACATCTCATGATGCCCCTTCAGAGAGGTCAGTAGTGTCTAATGAAGAAAACTGGTATAAAGCCAAAGAAGCAGCTGCATTTGACAAGGTGTTTGAATACATTCTGGGAGAACTGATGGAACATCCTTGTGTTATGAAGTTTACAATTTTCAGATGTAAAATCAGAGAGTATGCGCAAACATGGCTTTGATACTCTGATGGAATCAACGATCAAGAACCTCAGAAGAAGAGGCAGAGTTTGGTGATTCCCTATACATTTTTGCAAGTCTTCACAATGGCAGGATACTGATGTTGTTGTACTGATCTTGTTGTGGAGAACAGTGAAATACGTGACACAAGAAACAACCTATACAGACCACATAGAGGAAACAGCTTTGCTTCAACGCACAGCCATGAAGAAAGCGGCCTTTAGAATCATGGCCACCTAATCCTTCAGAACTTGATCAGAAATCAGTAAAGTTGGCTGGTGAAATCAAAGAGTTTTTGGCTGTATTTCTGAGTGCCAACTCATTTGAAAAAAGCTTCTGAAAAGGTACAAAGACTTGTCTTTTGGTTTTGGACAAGATATAACTTATGCAGTGACTCAAGGAAGAATAAGCAATGTGTCAGTTCGATTTCTGGATCTGCAGACTGTTCATCAGGCATTTCTAGCACAGTCAGACCAACCCGATCTCACGACCAAGTCGTACGAATTCGACGAATGATTAAAAAGTGGCTAATTCGTAACAATTCATACGACCTCACTCGTACGAATTAATACGATTTTGCTAAATCGTACATATTTTACGAATTGGCCCATTCGTATGAATTCATACGAATGACCTACCCCTTACCCCGCCCCTAAACCTAACCATCACGTGGGTTTAGAAAAATCGTACGAATTAGTACGAGTGAGGTCGTACGAATTAGTACGAATTAGACACTTTTTAATCATGCGTCGAATTCGTACGAATTGGTCGTGAGATAGTGTTGGTCAGACGACACTGAACCGGCCTGACTGACAGGGGCAAAAGGAAAACATCACACACCTGGCCTGGTAGACACACCAGCTCAGGGACAGTATGATCCTGGGGCGGGGACTCGGGACAGACCCCGCATTTTGAGTGTTGGGCTGTGGTGTAATGTGCTGCTGGACACTGTTCGGGTCGCAGCAGAGGAAGGGCTGCTTCACAAGCTTACCGAGTCTTCTGAAGATCTCACGGACTGCTCTCATAGCCCTGTCTTTTGCAGGCTTTTCTAAAATGAAGAACAATAAAATGTTCAATATTAGAAACAGCTTTGACTACAGATTAGAAACAGATTCAGTTTTCAAAAACTTCCTGAAATTGACTTATTTTATATGATACTAACTGAATGCAAGAAATGAGTAGCTCTACAGGGCTCCAGACTAACATGAGGCGCCAGCACCTTACTCAGTAGCAGAGGGTTTTTAATCAGAAAGGTAATTTAATCATGCAGTTACTAATAATATTGTAATATAAAACTAAAACTATAATATTGTTTGTTAACTTGTTATCATTATTAACTAACATACAACACACACATGGTACGGAGGGTTTAGCCTTATGAAAAAAAAAAAACATGTGAATGTCGCGGTTGCTGTGGTTACTTGCATTGCTCTGCGTTTGACCTGTCAGTAGGCTAAAGTCCGTGAGGCGGGCAGAAAATTGGTATCAAAAAGGGAACCAATTCTAATGTTTATTTTTCAAAACAGGCGTGCCCCCTGACCACAAAAATGCATGATAGCAGTGCCATGTACAGTAGTAGCTTACGGTATGCAAATGTCTAATTTTACATTTAAACCTGCTGAAATTTTAAAATTATTCAAAATAAATCTCAACATTGATAAACTTTATTGACATATTGCTTTAGATCAACTCTTTAATGATGAAATATCACTGTGAAATGAAATAAAGTAAAATAATAGGCTCTTTAGGACAGAATATATATATATAAAAAAACTAAGGAAAATATAACACAATTTTGAAATTTTATTAACACAATATAATATGTTGTGCAAATATGGTTCAATATATCTCCCTACATTTTTAGGAAAATATTTTCATGAACATCCACCTAGTTGGATGTTAGCCCCAAGAACACAAGAGTGGTTTATCAAACCTATACTGTATCAAAATCCTAGAGTGTACAAATGAGCAGCTTTAAAGGGTTAGTTCACCCCAAAATGTAAACTCTGTCAGTAATAACTCTCTCATGTTGTTCAACCCCTTAAGACTTCCATTCATCTTCGGAACACAAATTAAGATATTTTTGATTAAAGGTGGAATGCCTAAGATTTTATGCCGCTAGAGGGCGCTACATTCAAAACAACAACAACGGCTTTGCTTGATGACGCCGTGGAGGAACGCGGAATGATGGGAACTGTTGTTTTCAACTCCACCGTGGAGACGGGAATCGAAAATTAGTTGTCATGGATGAGGTAAAGTTCGATTTCTATAAATTTTGTGTTTAATGACATGCTTGTTTTTCATTAAACTGAAATAACCGCAAGAAAAGTCAAGGTTTAAAAGTAAATTAGTTATCACAGATGTTACTGTACGAGTCACTGGACGAAGTGACTTATTTTTGTCTCAAATCTTTGCTAATGGATCCTGACTTCGCCCTATGCTGCAATATGCATTAGTTTTGGATTCATTTACTGAAATCAGATGCTTGAATAGAAATAGCTGATGTTATTTTTCAGGTGAGATTCTCAATTCATTCAGTTAACAGATGATCATCTGAG